ATCAGGATATAATTAAAGAAATAAGAGTTGATGTTCCTTTTGGAATAATCCACCAATTTCTCTAAATGAAACACTATCTACAGATTTGCATCGAAGCGTTTCTTATGATAGTGATTTTAATCACTGTCAAATATCATCTATACTTGTCCCATCTATGTCTTGTCTACACTGTGCCTCGACCCCACTGTGCTACCGTTTTATTTTTAATTACTATTTAATAATCAAAATTAATAATAATAAAAAATAAAATAATAAATTATTATTTATTCTGTTGACTACTTTTTGTCATATAATAAACATATATTTTTGAAAATTACAATAGGTTAAATTAAAATTTATAATGATTTTATATATATTTAATTCCTCATTATCATCTTTTTAAAAATATACTGTTACTTGGTTAATAGTAAAAGTTATGCATAAAATATTGTTCTATTTTAATCATATTTTTACCATTGGAGGATTGATAATTTGTATCATCAAAATGTGCTTTGAATGAAAATAAAACTATTAACAAATATTACATAAAATTAATATTTCAAATAGAAAACAATGAAAAAAATGCAAAAAATTTTATCAGTCGATGAGAATCGATCCCCCGAGTCTGTACGTTTTATAGGATCACGTATTGTCGACTGAACCAAAAAAAAGCTATTTATCGAACGAAAAATGACCCTATTTAAGTTAATTAAAAATTTTCAAAGTCAATTTTCTTGACTTAGGGAGGGCATTGACAAAAAATTCCAAAATACGGTTTAATAGTAATATTTTTGGCTAATCTACGTACTCCCGCCTAAAACTTTTAGGTATTTGTAGTTGAATTTTTGTACAAATAAAGTTGGTAATACTAGTATTTAAAATATATCATATGCTATATCTTATCAATAACTTGATAAAAAATATTCTATTTTGCCTATAGATCTTATAAGATCTATGACTTAACCGAAGAAGGAAGATAATATCACTACTACATTTTCTTTATCAAGTTTTACAATTTAGTATTTATTTATAATGCCCCATGTGGATGTTTCCCTTCAGAAAAACTCTTACAGTGAACATTGCTGAATATAATATATATTTATATTTATTGTGATCTTTACATTTTAATTAATTGTTTATAATTTACAGTTTGTATAATTAACACTTTTGTTTATTTGTATATTATATTAGAGTTATAAGAATTTAATTAGAATAATGGTGACTCTTATTACAACAGTAAAAGAGTTTGAAGATTTTAAGTAAGTCATGTTCATTGTTTTAAATAGTTATGCATTGAGTATTATTTCTGTTTTCATATTGAAAAAGGTTAAGCGGCCAATTGTCTGTTGTTCACTTTTATGCTGATTGGTCAATACCATGCCAGCATATGAATGGGATCCTTGATGATTTAGCTGTTGAATATAAGGTGAGTATTATTATTTAGGTATTTTTTAAAATAAAATTATATATTAAAGCTAACTGTTTTTTAGAACATTAAATTCGGTAAATGTTTAGCTGAAGATTTGGCTGAAGTATCAATTAAATACAATATTTCTGCTGTGCCAAAGTTTATATTTTTTTCTAATGATGCTCAAGTAGATTCATTGGATGGCGCTGATGCTATTCAGTTAAATAAAAAAATTCAATCCTTGGTAATTTTATTTTTAATGGTTTACATTTTAAATTTATTTTTTTGAACAATTTTCTTGTTTAATAAGTATTATTTTGAAGAAAAATTTAATCAGTTGTTATTTATAAATGGGTTTATTTGTTTTTTTTTTCACATAACAATAGTAAAAATGTATAAAATTTGTTGTTATTTTTTTTTTTAAACTTAATTTCACGTATTGTAACTTTGAAGATATAATATATTACTTGGAATTTAAAGTATATAGTTCATATATTTTTATTTAACCTTAAAATATTGAATCAAACGTTTAATATTTTAAACAGATTTCAAAAGCTGAAAAGAAAGAAGAAATTGAAGACATATCATTAAGACTTAAATCACTAATAAGATCTGCACCAGTTATGCTATTTATGAAAGGATCAAAGTCACAGCCAAAATGCAAGTTTAGTACAGCTATTGTTAACCTTTTAAATGAAGTGGGAGTAGATTTTAAAACATTTGATATTCTTGAAGATAACATTGTTCGTGAGAAATTAAAAACATTTTCAAATTGGCCAACTTATCCACAGGTTGATTATTTATAAAAAAAAAAAAAATTAAATAGTCTAGATATTAATTTTTGTTTGTTCCTTAGCTCTATATAAAAGGTGAACTCATTGGAGGACTAGATATAGTTAAAGAATTGAAAGAAACTGGTGAACTTAATAATTTATTAAACTTAAATAATACTGAAAATGAATTAAATGAAAGGTAATTCTACCTAATATCTTTTAAAAACTTAAGTTTATATAACTTATTTTACATCATGTTACTATGAAAAATAATGTATTTAACTTCATTTGTTTATTCTTTTTTACGATGTTTATAACCTATAGTTTTATCTTTATACATTTCTGTTAATATTTTTTTTAAGACTAAAGCTGCTTATCAACAAAGCTAATGTAATGGTTTTCATGAAAGGTAATAAACAAATGGCTCGTTGTGGATTTAGTAATCAATTACTTCAAATTTTAAATGAAACTGGGTAAATTTTGTAAATTGTATTGCTTTACTATTTATAAGAAAACAAAATAAATTAATTAATATGTTGTTGAAGGGTTGATTATGAAACATTTGATATATTGTCAGATGAAGAAATACGACAAAGTCTCAAAGTATACTCTGACTGGCCTACTTATCCACAAGTTTATGTAAAAGGATCATTAATTGGTGGACTTGACATAGTAAAAGAACTTGAAGAAGCTGGTGAACTAATTGCAACTTTAAAGGGAGAAATGTGATAAAAAAAAAATGATAAAATTTCTGTAGTTTATTTAATTTTTTAATGTCATTTTATCTAGCATTATCTAAATAATATTTACGGGAGGAGGTTTTTTGTGACTTATTAAAAAATATGCATATACTAAAAAAGTCAAAAATTGTTATTTATTTTCACTTATTTTTACAACAACTTTTTTTTATAAGTTTTGGTTTATAGTTGAGGTGTTGACACGAGAAAAGTACTAAGTCATAATAACCAAATTATATGGGATAAGGGAAAAAGTCATTTATCTAAATTACATCAAGTAATGTCCAGTGTTTTCTTATGATATAATTACAAGCTAAGTTATATAATTTAAGCTTTTACAGAAATTGAAGTTTACTTTTTTATTAGATTATTAGAATATGTATTTATTGTATGTTCTAGGAAACAAACAAAAATTTGTAATCTTTTGACTTTGTACATTCAATGTTTCAATGCATCAATTGTATACTGTTACTATGTATACAATTATAATTTTAGTTTTTAGTGGAACAGTAAATTTATTATTTCTATGCTATCAAACTTACATTGAGACATGATATTTAGTATTACAACCAAAGTAAAAAATCTAGATTTAATCGCCGATTCTTAAATATAATGTACCACTTTATATAAAAAGTAATTAATTTATTTATTGATTAACTGTTTTTAAATTTGTGAATTTTCAAAATGAATGGTAGAAGAGTTAATATCTTAAATTGCTTTTTTCAAAGTGAATCACTTCTCAGTATTTATTGTGTTTATAATTTTGTAAAAAAGTGATTTTCAGATGAAGAAAGTTTCTTAAATAAATTAGCTAACATTTTGTAAGTTAAGGAAAAATTAATTTTTACTTTTATTGCACAGAATGAGAAATTATATTCCACAGTAATCAATTTTCTTGATATTATTGTATTCAATTGTTTATTAATGTATGCAATGCATTAAAACTTCAAATAAGTATAAATAAATGGTAAAATTTAAATATGAAATAATTTTTTACAAACTATTTTAAATAACAGTATTTATTATGTTTATTTACATAACACTAACAATAAACATAAAATAATAAAAATATTCACATTAATATATATTAGACTATTAGTTTAATTTTTTCTCACAATAAATTATATGCTGATAATAGTTAGTGTTGAATCAGTATGTTGTTATAGAAATAATATTGTAAAAAGTTCTATTTTTGTTTTTCCATATGAATTATACCAAAATAATTAAAATATGATAAAGATGTATAAATAACTATAATGAATAACTTAAGAAGAAGTCATAATAGACATTCACAATATTTAATTAATAATTTAAAAAGTTTCTATTAAAAAAATGTGTTTTATATTGATAATATTACTAAAATACATAAGGTGAAATAATATTTGGTTAACAAATTTAATAACTATGCATAACATCTTATAAACATAATGACAATATTTAAAACGCTTAATAGAAACATTGAGCAAATAATTAAAAAATAGTGTAATAATAAACAAAAACAAGATGTCACAAAAGTTTTTTTGTCCAGATTATATCAATTTTGTTTAATATTGCATTAAAAAACTCTACAACTAATATGGAGTTTAATGATTTACACTACTTTAATCAAGTTTTTACAAAAAATAACGATTAATCAAAATTACTTTTATAACTAATATTTGTAAAGGCTAGTATTCACTGTCAAGTAAAGTTTCAATTACTGTTTTTTAACTTGTACGGAAAAGTTAACTCAAGAATAGACCTTATTTTCTTTGCATATTATATATTTATATATTTACAATAAGTTAAATTTATTTCTTAATAAACTATTTACCAGTTGGTTTTTAGAATTTTGATTGTTAATAATACCAAGCTCGATGTAGATAAAAGATAATTAATCTATTATATTATATCTATTATATTAATTATATGATTAAATAATCAAAATAATAATAATAATCACAATGATATCCAATTAATTAAGAGAAAAACAATTGGTTAGGCCCTTATCTTTCTAAGGTTATCACGACCACCAAATGTTCTTATGGCATCTAGCAGGTTTTGTCTGGAATCTTTACTTGTATTTGAAATCAAACTATTTTTGAGCAACGGTTGAGGTTTCTTGAGAGTGGAACGTACAAAGTTCTTTGATGATTTGAGTTCTCCGAATGTCGTGAATTTTGTATCTTTAGTGACGATTGGAGCATTGGATTTTTGATTCGTGGTATAATCAATGCCATTGCCGCAATAACCATTGCTGAGTTTAGCCTGAGCTCTGATAACTTCAGATAACACAAGTGCTGGTGTTATATGTAGTTGTTCGGCGTATGGTTTTTTAAGCTCCACTGATTTAACCACAGGCACTCTGGAGACAATTGAGGAGTCGGAAGGATCGCTTGTAGATGATAAGACAACATTAGGCTTTTTATCAGCTTCTTTAATCAAGGTTGTCGATACTTTTGGTAGATCTTGATTGTTTTCAGTTTTTTGGAACTTTTGCCGGAGACCACCGATCACATAATCTCGATCTACCTTGATACTAACTTGTCTTTTAGGACGTTCGTTCCACGTTGACAAATTGATCTTAGGGGGACCGGCATACGAATATTTGATTAATTTTGGCTTGTAAGGTTCTTCTTCCTGATTAACTGGTATCACTGGAGGTATTAACATATCTACAATTGTTTCTTGAGATGGGATATTATTGTCTACTGCTTTTAACTCGGATTTCTCAGAAGATTCCAATGTCTTTGGCTGTATTTGACTAGAACCCATCTTTTCTTTTTCTAATTTTTGGCAATTTTCAGTCAATTTTTTTTCATTTTCGTCGAGTAATATAGCATTTGCCTGTGTTGCATTTGATAGTCTTAAACTAAGATAAAAAATTATTATAAAAAAAAAAAAAAATTATAAATAATAAAAAAGTTAATACATATTTAAAAGGAACATTACTATCGCTCAAAATTATTTTTTTGTAAATTAAATATTATTAATAAAATATTTTTACTCACTTATAATAGTTAATTTTACTTTCACATTTTTCAGGTTTGTATTCATTTAATTGGGGTAAAATGGTTTTCAAGATCTAAAGAAAAGTAAAATAAATAAATAGTATCAACAGTTCTGTGGTCAAAATATGGTTGATGGATCTTACCTGCAATGAATGCAGAGGGGAAGTTTGTTCTAATGCTGGTTCAATTAGAGGTTTTTTCATTTGAATTTCATCTTGCCCGTTTTCTCTCACATCTAAAAAAAAACATATAAAATAGAAGTGGAATCATTTATTACTTAAAAATGCAAACCTTCCGTTATGTCGGCTACGCTGAACGATCTACGGGTCAGTGGCTCGTCGTCATAGTCCAGTCGTTCCGTAGAGTAAGTCCAGTGTTTGGCTAGCCGATTAGATGGTTTTAAGTTTCCACTCAACAGACTAATATGAGACGTGCTTCTCTTGACTAAACCACCAGAAGTCTGATGGCTGCGTATATCTGTGGAGTTAAGTGAATTGCGTCTATTTACTAAAGTAGCTTTGTAAGCTGGATTGGCTTCTCTTGCTTTTTGCGTTGTCTTCCAAGTTTTCACAGAATCATCGCAAAATATCTCAGTGGGTCTACAGCAATTTTCATCGTACGCGGTGATTTTGAAGTTGTTGAGTTTTTTTTTGGCAACTGGTTCGGTTTTTACTGTTACTAAGACTTTTTCATCCGGGTGTATAGTTTTTTCTTCACAGCTAGACGGCAACGACGAGTCATCTGAACCTACGCCTGAATCTTGAAGAAAACATGAATGTGCGTAGTCATCATCACCAACCCTCACAATAGTTTTGATGGAAGTTTCTGGCCTGATACTGTCTTCTTTCACATCTTTTTCGTCATCATCTATGTTAACGACTGGAGTACCCAAGGACTGGTCTTCAGGCAAGGTATGTGTGGACAAATCACAAAGGGTGACGTCGTCACCAAATGTAGTAACAACGGGTGATAGACGATGGTTGTCTCTAAAGGCTGTTGGTGGGTCTGGGAGTTTATACTCCCATTCGATATCATCACTTCCTTTACTGGCTCCCGTTAATGTGGTCGGACTGTCGTACCCATTAGTTGCATCTCCAAATATTCTATCGATCTCATCATCGTCCATACGAAGTTCATCTTCATCACCCGTTGAACAACCTACATGTGAATAAAATTCGTATAAGGAGAAGCTTTGTTAAATTAACCAACTCCATTGAGTAGTTCCAAAAATCCATAACTTTTTTACAGACATTGGGAAATTTATTTTATTTTTTTAATTTGATTAAAAATAAATCACTCTCTATGTAAATATTACATGATTTAAAATTTAATAAGCGGATCCAGTGATTTTCAAGATATAGCAACATAATTCTACGTAGAAAAAGTTTGAATTTTTTAATAAATTGCATTTTAGTTGTATGCATCATCAATATTAATATAAGATATTATATATTTATTTTTAAAAAGTGGAAACGTAGAAGAAAATGTATTTTTGTTTTCTTTCTAGATCCGCTGCTATTAAGTTATATAAACAACGCATTTATGCAATAACATCCACTTTTATCGCATACACACGTTAATACATGGCGTTTCCATCACCGTCAAAATTGTTTGCGATTCAAGCGTATATATAAATATATAAAAAAATAGAAAAGAAAGTTATTAAAAAAAAGCACCTGAAGGTAACCGTAGAGGCGACACTGAGAGGAGTGGGTCGCTCGTGAGCTGTTTTTCGGATGTATCGTCCGATTGGATATCCAGTGACGAAGAACGTACAGGCGGCCTAGGCGCCGGCCTTTTTGTTCTCGGTCCCATTTTCGGTAGAGCGAATCTACTAGAGTCTACCAGGTATGCAGGGGAAGTGGGTTCAGCATCTATATAGGTTATATAGGGTACGATAATAATATATTTACAAACAGATGAAGCACGCTAAGCAAGCAAAGAGAAGATTTAAAGTTGAATAAAAGCATGCTAACTAATTAAACTACGATATTATATTAAAAGGAAGAGAATAAGTAAAAATGCTGCCTATACATACTCCTCTCGCTTAACTGACAGCACGTTGTTAAGGTGTTTTAAAAATTCATCCCACGACTCAGTATTAGATCGGCCGTTAGACAAAGTTGGGAAGGATGTAACGGTAGCATTGGAACAAGGATCTGGGAGGTGATCGGACAAGAATGTTAATGGTATTTTGGTGTACTTTAGAACAGGTTGGGACGTACCTCTATCTAAATCGGATCGACTAAGTGATGATAACGAGGATGATGTTGGGGATAGGTTGGGTTCAACTACATTATTGTTCAGCTCTATTCTGGATACAGTTTTAGATTTTTCTGAAAATTGTAGTTGCGACTCGACAGTCGTTACCGTGGAAGTGACTGGAAGCGTTTGCGATTTTCTCGGGGTTTCCTGTTCACGATCCTCTGGTTCTTCAGGTGGTGGTTCTAGCTTAGGTTTGACAGTTGATAGCGGCGGAGGAAGAGGTGCTGCTTTCTTTTTACGACCTGAAAATAATTGATAAAAACATATTTTAACAATTTTTTAACTTGTTTTAAAGTCAACTAAAATTGTTGATTAACAATTAGTGATGGGAAATATCGAATAGTAACTATCGAACTATTCGTTAGTCTATGTTAAAAATAAACTATTCGGTTGTATAAACACAATTCAAATAGTTAATCGATAGTTTAAAATATTTGAAATTGTCCATCACTAATTTTTACTATTATTAATTGTATGATAATTTATTTTAAGTATTCGTTAATTATCTTCTTAATATAATTAAGTGTAAACCCAACCAAACCATTTGATAGTTTATGTTAAAAATAAACTATTCGGTTAAAAGTTTTAAAAAACTATAGAATACTATTCGATTAATATAAATATTCGAAAATGCCCATCACTAGTAATAATCTAAAATATATGTAATTATTAATGTATTTAAATATATTTAAATACAAAATACATTTAATTATTTAGAGAATTTCGAAATTTGCAGGAATTTTTATCGCAACTCACGATTTTATCAAATAGGCGTATGACAACGCTTAAAATACTTAGATAACGAATATAATAATAAAAAATATTAATAGTTATATTTAATTTTTCACACAATTTTTTTACAAAATGACATACATTGTAATTTTATCATATTAACTTTATTGTTTTATTACATCGATATCCCTGTATTTACCTAGCATGGACACCAGAGATGTAGTAGAGGCTGAATGTTTAGATTGACCAATGCCATTTGAACTAAAAGGCATAGCAGAGAGCTGGTTTTGATTCTGTCCGCAAGCTTGCAGATTAGTCATTGAACGCGACAAGTTTGGGTTAGATGTTTTGTTCATTAGATTAACGCTAAATTGAAAAGAATGATGAACAAATGTTAGACTTGTTAAAAAAATGTCGTGTACATTAACAAATAGACTTACTTGCTGTCAACCACGTCACTGAGTACAGAAGATTCATGATAACCACTACTGTCAGAACTGTTACGCGAATGAGATATCAAAGTCTGTTCAGGGACTGAATAGCGATGATACTAACGGAAAACAAAGATGTTAGTTAGGTACAAAAAAGTTATTATATATTAGTGAGATTCCACTGTAGAAGGCATGCTTACAGCTGGTGGTTTTGGCGCCAACCTTCTTTTTCGCACAGGCCTCGACGGCAATACCTTAATCATAAGAGACCTACTACGAGGTGTGTCTGATGATCCATCTGATCTCGTAGGGCTCAAACTTCTCTCTCCTAGACTACCACTACTTAAGCTGTCATCGCACTGTAAATTCACCAGTAATAAAACGTCGTAGTTAATAGTAAGAAAAAAATATTAATTATCCAAAGAATTTTATCCTAAACATTATATGCTAAAAAATAATTATTATTTATCTTAATTTTAGCACTTAAACAATAAAATAGATAAGGATAGAAAGCTTTAATAATATACTTTCAATACAAATATTCATCAAATATTAGTTACATAATGTGTACTTTAATTTGTATGGTAATGAATTTTGATTTTTGTTTACATGAATAACAAAATTAATTATAAAAATATGTTAGAAATATTAATACCTCGTGTTAATTAATAGCTGTTGCACGAGAACATAAAATATTCTAATGAAAGTTTTGATACGAATAATATTTTTTGAACTAAAAATATCATGCATTTGAAAAGTATAATTTACCGAAAACTTTTTTGGCGCCCGAGACATGATGTCGTCAGAGGATAAACTACCAATAAGGGTGCGGTTAGTGTTTAACACTAAAGTTAATTGCTGTAGCTTGTATTCTTCTAGAGTTTTCGTCAATTCCAAAGATTCATTCAATTTATCTGTCGATTTACAAAAAAAAAACAATGTAAATAGAATATATGATAAATTAAAAATATTATAATTTATAAATTGAACATTTTGCAACTGTCACATTGAAGAGTGCGGCGACATTAGGATAAAAAAAATACAACAACTCAACGCTGTGGATTTATGTTTTTTAATTTTATTTATATTTTTACGAGTTGTACTAGTGCCTAAACCGTGCCACGATAAGATAAGCCATCACTTGACAGAATAGCTGAACGTATGGTATTCAGCGAGCATGAATAGCTTTTTTTGTTTGTTTACTAAACCCAATGTAAATGTCTATTCAATCATATAAAGCGTTATATATCTATGTGCATTTCTTGATATTAATAATAATATAACTTTCAAGTATTGTTGTTGAATAAAGTTTGTTCTCCTTGAATCACGCATTAGTATGTATAGATGAAACCGAAGAAACTTTACAAACTCCAATTTTTAATCAAAAATTGTAGTAGGAGAAATGTTAAATTACAGTAATCTTTAAAAAAATATTTGACATTACTTTTTAGTTAAAAAATAGAGGTTTGAAACTAAAAGGAAACTAGTATGCACGTGTATATAAAGAATTGACTAGGTTGTAAAAGTAATGACAGTTAAATACGTCCAAATGATAAACAAGGCTGTGCAGTGTTCTTAGTGTAGCAATGCCTAACACTGTAGCATGTTACTCGCATATCGTAGGTATGTACCAATATATTTAAAAATACAAATAAAATGACTCTACGCCTATAATAGTGCAGATTACACTTTAAAATGCGATAAGGTTCTATTTTTGCAAACGTAAATGTAAAATATTGCATAATTTAAAGTAGAATACTGCAATGGCAGCAGTGGATTATGTAAAATTTAACTTAACGCGTTTAACTAGAATATAATATATAAATTATTTACCTGGTTTTCTTAATGTGTACTTGGCAGAGTCCAAGTTTTTTTCAGAGCACACTTGTTTTAGAATAGTGGATAACTGAGTTTTTGGACTTATCCGGGCTACATATAGCTGATTTCTAGGCAGGTGAACCTGTGCGCAAAAAAAAAAAAAAACGTTTTATGTATAAATCTATGAGACACTGTTATAAATAGTAAACATATAGAAATAAAGTGTTTTTAAGCTCACCTGTAGGCGAAAAGTCTGTTCAAATGGTTTGGGTATACTTTTTATGACTGATTGGTAACGACCGTTTTTGCTAACGTTCTTCGGAACGATATGAACAGTCCAAGTGTCTAATGCACCTGTGCGTATTTAACATTGAAAATAAAAATTAGAATACGATTAGTAAATGGCAAAGGTTATTCTAAATTGGCACAGTTGAAAGCGTCATAACTGTTGCAACGTTTTAAATTGATTTTATTATATTGTGTGTATAAAAAAACCAAGAAAATCGTAATAGTTTTCTGATGGGTCAAAATAATTTTAAGCCAACAAAAGACGGTTGAAATTAATATTTTTAAATAATTTTTTTGTTTATAGCTATAACACTATGGCAGGGATTCCGAAAACTTAAACATGACTAAGAGCCATTAAATATTAAAGTTTTATATAAGTTTTACAACTCATAATTACCATAAAGTTTTCATTAAAACTAATAATTTACCAGAGCGATGCGGTCAGTCATGTGAATTACACGACTAAAAATGTCGAGGCGTTTATTTGGTTAAATATTTTATTGGCACAAAAGGGATAAAACCTTTAGTTTATAATAAATCAATCACTAACATTGTAATTTAATTTTTAACAACTTAAAAGTATAAAAAATAAAATAAAATGGTATCTGAGAAAAATAATGTGAATTTTTTTTTAATAATTCCATGAAATTCTCAAGCTCACATTCTTAAGCGTTTAAGTTTAACCAAGTCTAGTGAATATTCCATTCAAAATATTATTGGAATTTTTCGAATTTATAGTCAAAATATAGTCTAGACCATGACATAAAAAAAAAAAAAAAAAAAAAATTTAAATTTAAATATTCAATAGTATAAAATAAAGATTAATTAAAGTAACACGGTGACAAATTTATTAGTCAGTAAGTTTATGAGAATTGTTTAAGATATCTTAATATCTATAAACTTTTGATTTGAAGTTAAAAAAATCAAATAATATTCAAAATAAGAGCTATTATAAAAACTAATTACTTGATCAAGCCGAATGTAAAAACAAACATAAGATTTTCTGACAATACAATAATTGTATTGTCAGTTGAATATTATCGTCGTAAGTAAAAAAAAGGAGGGAAACAACATATATAAGTTTTTATATTCATAATGATTTTTTTTCTAATCGAATAAATCTATTACAGAAATGTTCATTCGGTGGTACTATATATTACAATTTTTGTCTGTATAAAAAAAAACATACCAATGGGTGTACTTGGTTTGTATGGAAGGATTCCGATGTCTCCAATGGCATGTAGTGCATGACTTCCAGGTGACAATTTGTGAGCAGTGGTGATTTGTACGAGCAAATCCATCATAGGAGTACTAAACAAATAAAAAAATTAAATCTATCAATACATCGATTCGTTTGCATAAAATGTAACGTTTAAAATTCGCTAAATTTATGGCGCCAATGACATCTATTGGCGCCTGTTTTAAACGGATTAGACTTCCTATCCCCTTGTAACCCCTTCACCGCCCATAATATTCTCGATCAATTAATTAAATTGCTTTATAACGTGACCCAAAGCTAAAACCACATCGATGGTCGGTGGAATAATAAACTTCTATAGCTTCCTCATCTGTACCGTGTCACGTTTACCGATTACCAGACCAAAACCAAACATGTATTTGTATTTGCGCATCAGCATCCCGTAAACATGAAATACTCATATAGTGAAATAAATACGACAACGGTTTTGTCCATTAAAATACGAGACTGCCATCACAATGGTTGCGAAAATCTATTACAGCCTCACTCCGCTGTTGTTATTATAATGATTACTTTTTGTTATTGTTCTTGTATGGTATACGACATAGCCTGAAGTTATTATTTTGGGCATTAGACCGTGTTTTTTTACGCAGCGCAAACTCCGTGCAGTTTTGTTATCACAGAAAATGAAAAGGTGACGCTTTGAGGAGAATTAAAAATTTGTTTTTATAAGTGACCGGTGCTAACCGTTCGGTAAATACAATAGGTGTGACCGTCAGAAAAAGTTCCTTGACTTGTAGACATGGCCGGGGGCTACATATTGGAGATAATAAATTGATAAACCGAAATAATAATATCAAACGAATGCCGTTTGAGTACACCCAAAATACATTTTAAATTATGTTTTAATTAGTTTTCAGTGAACTAAATTACTTTGAAATTAGTGTTAATAGGTCAGGAGTTTACATTTAGAAATTCTGTGCAATACATTCGACTTTAAATTAAATCAGTACATGTGAGTTAAAGAATACTACAACATGATTGAAGGCTCAGATAATAACGAAATCAAAGATTTTATTGCAATATTCAAATTGTCGATTATTTTATCAAACGCAAAAGAAAACAAATGTGATAGAATCTCTCAACGGGCACTAAGACGAAAAAGAGAAGTATAACTGTACTCGAGTAATAACTGAGTATTATCACAAAGCCATAGCGCCATTAAAAAATTACTATGAAATTGTTTCAACTCGATTTGTTTTATCAATTTAGATATTGAACATTTTTACGAGTAAATAAATGTGCTTTGGTGTGTACATTTATTTTACGTTACGCCTGGTAGTTAGGAAATACTTACAAACCTACTGTCGTGAAAATAACTTAAGTAATATTTGATAATCCAGTGTTTGTTTGCAAGTAACGACATGATTATGATAGTAATTCTTACAGGAATGAAATAGATATTGAAATAAAATAAAATTTTATGATTATGAAATTTATTCATGGTGACTATATATTAACGTATACAACGGAAAACGTTTTAGAATGTTTTCCGTTCATAACTATAAAAGAATATTGAAACAATTGTGTTCAATATTCTTTTATAGTTAATGATATAATCTCTCAATTAAAAAAAAATCTATTTATTTTTCAAAACCTATAATCAAAATTAATTATACAAATGCAAATAATTTGATTTGACGGACAGAAAAAAAAGGTTTCAGCGGATATCCAACACTGAATATAAAACATCTAGAGCTCACTGATGCGTGTCTTTTATCCCGTAAGTCGAAATGATAAACCGAGACACCTAACATACTCACAGATTTCACCAGCAAATGTAATTTTAAACTTTTTGTTACGTTAATACTTTGAAAACACAAGTAAGCTTTATATTATGCTAAAATAAACATGTCTCTATAACGACCTTGATCGGAGCCTTTTTTAAATATTGTCGAAAGTGAAAATTCTTAGTAAAAGAGCAAACAAAATGTAATGATAAAATCAAAGCTAAGCATAAACTAATTAGTAAGTTAAACTTTTTGGTTTAAAGAAGATATTAAGATTTTACGTTAACTTAACTCCTAATTTGTTCAATGTTAACTTGTCCAGTATTGGACAAGATCTTTCGCTGAATTTTTTTAAATAAATACGGTCTCAGTTATTTTTGATGCCCAAAAAGTAAAATTATTCGATGTACTTAATACGTTTTAGTCATACTAGAATATCTACAGGCTCTGGCAATAAGGATTCGCCAACGTTGTTATCATTATATAAAGTGATAAAAATTTATGGTATTGTGACTGCTAAGTCTATACTGACCTTCTCTCGACACTCATCTTCATGATAGAACCGTTAGGCAGAATCACGTTCAGATCCATTGCTCCAGCCAACATGTCGGGAGGCGTGTCTTCAGTCACGGGCATTATCTGCAAGGACATCGTCTTTGTTGTAACCCTGTAACATACAAAATTCGTAAACTTAATGCAATCAGACATGTAAAATCTGTGAGTTGTCACAATACATAATAATAATATCCTACACGACACACAGTTGACCGGGTCACACAACGTAATAGGCACGTATGTAATTCGGTTTTCGCATCCCATCGCACACGAAATGGCCTTTGACTTAATAAACAAACCGTGTGTACGAATTAAAAATCTATTGCATTAAGCTAATTCGTCTCAAATAAAAATTCATGACCGAAATTTGAATGTTACCAACGTTACATGATAAAAAATAGGTTGAAGATAATTTATAAATTGGTCTCAAGAGCTTTAAGGGTTTAGTTGTTAGAGATAAGCCGAGCTCTTTCCCAAAAAATTGTACTTCATAGGTCCACCTGAACTTGTTACAATAGTTTTGTGTTTATTCATACAGAATAATTTGACAAAAACAAATAATATAATTTTAAATGGCTTTGATTTAGGAGAACAATAAAGTTATGTCGCATAACGTTGCATTTGATTTCTCTGACAATGTTTCAAATAGTATATACATAGTTTTTGCCAAAATCGAAAGTTGCAAATACATTTAAAAGAACTTTTAGGCAACTACAAATAGTTTCACATTATGAGTAATGACCTAAAATTTCAATTTAAGTTTTAGAAGAATACAACGAAAATTGAAAATGGCTAACTATTTTACAAACTACTTAAATTATAATAATTGTCATGTGATTTAAACCGTTTTCCAAATTCATTTAACAGACACAAGTATTCCCATGTTGTTTTTTATAACTTTTTATTTTTTATATTTATATATGTTTTTTTACCGTTAAAATGTTATGTGGTTTTGTAATTTTCTTTGAAAAACTCAAATATACAACTGCAGTGTTTCAAACAAGACTTAATGGCACTCAATATAATTTTTTTGCATCAAATAATTTCTGAGCAATATAAAAACAGCATGACGAAATTGCAGGGAAGCAATCATGCATGTCAATTGAAAAACGTGCGTTAGTGGTCGCACAATTGCATGTGTTCTTTTTTTTATCAGAATCTATACAAGAAAGTTTACTTTATTTTTTCACGTTAGATCTCGTGTTTGATCAGAGGTGGTAGTCTCGTATATTTTCTGGAAATCTGTTGGTCAATAAAAAATGACGTCGCGTTTTATTTACCGTTTCGGAAATAGACCCTTAAAAACTAAGAATAAAATAGTATTTGTCTGAGAACGGTCGAACGGTTGAGAGAAATTTTAAACGTTACCGTAGACATTTATGAGCCGAATAATATTTCAGAGTAATGACAAAATGATTTGTTTTATCTGCGGTTGACTCGGAGTTCACTCATTATTGTTTGAGTACACTCCCAGAATCTAATGACTGAGGTCGTTATGTCATGACAAACGTCTAAAATCGTATAATGATGTAAATTTAATAGATTCCGAGCTCTAGACGATATTGACAGCATTAAAGGGAAGCTAAAAGACTGAAACGGATGACGGATATTCTCATTGCGATCACTTTTTGTAGACTCCGATGACATAAAAACTCGAAATACTCGAGTCTATACATTTGGCAAGAGGGTTGTAATACATGTCTGGATCACGCGGTACAACGGCAATATAACTAAATGATATTATGAGAGTTTTTGACTTTGTGCGCCGTGCAAATACAATAATTACCATAAACGACGAATTAATGTACTGGATATAATTGCGATTGCCGGAGAAGGCGACGAAACACTATAATTATATTCGTATTCACAGGACAAGATATACTGATGTACGCACTCTTACACATAAATAATTATGCATTGTTAAGAGTGGGTAATCGTCATTGTTTTTGTAATGACGACGAGAGTTTATAATGCCGTTATTAGACGCGCTTAAACGTTATAAATGCAAATGTAAGCCCTCATGAGTCACTTCGGTAGATATGCCGAGCATATGTACCAAAGTGTGAGTATAAGAGAGACTTGCGTTAGATAAATGCGATGGCGGTACAGTAAAAACGAAAAGTTAAATGTTGAATAAATCTTTGATGTATTTGATGCACAACAGTTTTGCTCTTTTCTTTTGTTTTTAAATACGATTTGTTTAAAACATTTTCGAGCAAAACCTATTTCAGTTTATTTGTTGAATTCATAAACAACTGAAATGAACTCATTGCGAAAGAACTGAGTTTGGTTTGTTTTCGGATAAATAATGTTGTACGACGACACAATATTACATCTTTAATTAGTTATCCGATTAAGCTCGACTTTACAAGCCGGTGATTTTGTAACGATTTGTGTGGATCCAGTAAGCCTACACGCCCAATAATTATTTGTTACTTTAAACCAGAATCATCAACGCCTGACCGTCAGTTCTTAAAGTTGTTGAGTTTTACAGACAACAACTACGATGGCCAACAGCTGATGACTGCAACCGTTCCATACGCACGATCGCAGTAATGCTCCGGCCATAATTTCATCCGGATTTTGACCTTCCTGAATGGCGTACGGAGCAATATGAGTGTACATGAAACGCTACCGGTATTCCTTGACCTTCGGAGGCCAACGGCAACGCGTTCTTCGTCAGTCCGAGTTCACCAAACTTATATCGGGTCATTGCCATCGAGCAGCTGTCGCTAATTTCTGCACCGTACCTTGGGGCAGCTATTAATTAAATTTTAGCCGGACACTGGTGATTATTTAGTACGATACGATTAACGCGAGGCAGATAACACACAATAAGACAACACGAGTATTACAAAGCTGATTGGATAAAACGTGACGGAGAAAGTACATCGGAAAATAAATGAAATGTTTACGAACACGTAATAAATTAAATACCTTTTATGAGTTGAGCAGAAACTGAACGACGGGAAACACGAAATTCAACATTGTGCTCAAAGTTTTACTTGCATTAATACATCGGTTTTCCGTGTACTCAGACTGTTTATCAAAAACCATATGCGTTTTAGTTCATTCATTAACAAATTTAAATAGATTAGCGGAGTTTTGACAAACGATTTTATTAGCACTGTTGTTCAAAATGTTCTCTGAGACTGAACTCGTCTTAAGGCGTTTTTTACGTTCTCGTGCCGAATAAACTTATTCATTGGGATCCTTGTGATGCACGACGGGACTGCGAGTTTAATGTTTGAAGTCATCTGTCACAGTTTAAAATTTTTATAAAGAACACTATTATCTTGCGCTTTTTACCTTGACCTATAGCGTAACGATCTAACACTATTTTGTTTACTTAATCTTACCGTAATCTAGAGAAACGTACATATCAAATATATGTATTTTTACAGTACTTTTTAAACTTTAATTGTCTAATGGATACTGTTCGTCGTTTTAAAGTCTATTAAAAATTTAAGTGTCACTATTTTAACATAAATATCAACTGCTTTCTTAAACATCTTGTTTGCTCTCAAAGTAATATCTTTTTTCACGAGTTATCAACGTAATTTTCAGTTGAATACATTTAACTTATAACTATTATGACTCGTATAATTGGATTCGCCATTATGCAAAACATTCTCTCATTCGATAAAACAATGAAATTTAACCTCGATGTCATTATTGAAGTGGTTCAGTTAATAATGAACTGTGTCATTTAATGTGGAGTTATTGCAACACAATTATAAGGGTCAATAGCATCTAATAAATAACTATTAGAAGTGCTGTAATGTATTGAATGTTTACAAAATAACCCATTTCATTTCACGTACTAAATATCTTATTATTAGGTTTAAAAAACATCTATCACCTTGTTATGGCAATTCTAGGTTAAATTTCCATACGTGATAGTGAATCATTCAGTTCATTCTCAGATTTCTCTGCCAAATTAATTAGCACTATTTTGTTTTGACACGCTATTTTTGTAGCACGTGATTACCAATATGGGCATTGTTTTTGTTCAGAGAACCATTGAGTTTAAGGTAGCTTTTCTCGAAGTGTTGCATAATTATGTGTAAGATTATATCTTATCGCACTAACAGTTGCTATAAGTTTTATTTGAGATTCAAATATATTTATCGAAGATTATCTATAGAGTTATGATTTATTTTGACAGCTTATGTGATATTTTTGTTATTAGGAGCTTTTAAAGCCATCAGTCAACTTTTGAGAAAATTTAAGGATTTCAGTTAGACGAAAATGGACACAATTAAAATAAGAGGTTAACCAGCTTATTTAACACGTCTTGTTAATCTTTAGCTATAATTTCCTAGGACGGTCGAAATAAGTTTAGATCCCCAAAAGACAAATACAAGTAAATATTTATGAAACTATGAAAATCTTAAAAGAAACTTCGTTAAATCGTATACCGTTAAAGAAATTATAACATTTTTTTGGCGTTGACGGTGAGCGTAAAAGTACTCTTAGTGAATATATATTACAATAATAATTACAAATAATGACAAGTTAAGCGAGTTAATTACAACGACATTAGTTAAAATTGTTATTTTTTTCAAATGTATAACAAAAGTTAAATAAGTATGAAATGTTACAAATTGTAGTATAATAACATTTTACCTTTTTATATATTTTTATTGTTTACATATTATGATTTTGAATTTCAAAGTAGTTTTAAGCCATTGTTACCGAAATAAAAACATAATGATTACTCATTATGCTCTTCACTAGAATCAATGATTATAACCATTGATTAATAATAATTAATTAATAATAATTGATTAATTAATAATTATTGATTGATAAAATTTAAAAGACGACCTATACTAACTTATTTATAGTTCTAATCTTTAAGCGGGATTTGTGCGTGCATTAATATTTACATGATATTACGCGGAGAGGAACCTAAAATGTTAGAAGTTCCTAGGCCATTCTATGCATTCGTCTCCTTCTTTAAAGAGACCCAGTGACCCGTTTACTGGACCTGTTTAGCCACTGCCACCTCATCGAGTAGCGTCCCCAACGGATAAACAAACGAATGCGGCTGAGAAATCTTAATACTGGTCCTAGTTATCTTCCGGCGATTAAAATCACTATAGCATG